GCCAGTGTCTTTAAATTTTCAAGCGTGGAAATGTCAACAGAGACAAAAAAATTCAGGGAAAAACAAAGAGAATAGATTAAGGATTTATTTATATCATTGAAAGAGCTCTGTGTTCCTTGACTAAGAAATGACTGAGGGGGTGAGAACTGAAATGGTCACAGGTCTCCAACACGCCCTGAGGAGTGAGGGGGTGACCCAAGGATTTCCTGGTGGCTCAGCTCTCCTGAAGGCTTTAGAACTACCACATCTTGGTACTTTATGGCTCCAGAAAGGGAAGTTTCTCCACCTCACACCACACAAAGCTCTCCAGGACTTTGGCACCGGGCAAACTGGTGTGGTTTACACAGAAATACTCCTGTCCCTGGGAGCTGGGAAGTGTCTGAGCGCTGTCATCTCCTTGTACGTGATCTCCTTTTGGATTTCAAGAAAACCTGCCCGGGTTCCCCACAGCTTCTGTCCTGGTTGTCACATAGAACTGAACTATCCACGGCTCTAAAACTGGCCAGAGGGCACTTTTGAGGGGTTTTGTGCTGGTTGGTTGGTTTGTTTCTTTTTGAAGATGGGGGGTGAGAGCCCTTTGGCAGGCACCAAGGCCTATTAAATTCCTTGCTTAATTAGTAAGAGTTTTCTCTTTTTCTGATGCAGGATGAGTTGGAAACTTCTTGGTACTCTGGGACAGAAAATCCCACAGGTTGCCCCTCAAAGAAAGAGGAGACAATTCCAACAATTTTCTTCGGAAAAAATTCCTGGAAATACCCACCCCAGGCTCTCCACAGGGCATAGAGCCCTCTCCTGAGCTTCAGAGGACCACAACCTCAGAAACTGTCCTTCCCCAGTGCTGGGGACCTGGTGAGCTGGAAGAGGAGCCTGAAGAAGAGTTGGTGCCATCCCAGGGCACTCCCTTGGGTGACAGGAGCTGCTGGGGAGGATGTGTTCACAAAGGACAGAGCAAGGAATGCGGGGAAGAGAGGGGAAGGTGCCAACACGGAGGCTGGAGAAAGGTGAACTGAGAAGGAGCAAAGAAGGTGCAACCTCTTCTCAACAGTTTCTCCTCCCTGGGGTGTCTGTGCAGGGACAGGAGCTGGGCTCAGTGATCCTGGTGGATCCTTCCAGCTCAGGGTTTCTGTGATTCCATTGAAGTCACATCTTCTATGGCACAGACCGAAACACTCAGACCCCTGAGGCACCACGGCTTGGTCTGGAGTACCTGGGAGAACTGCACCACGTCAGAGCTGGGAAACCTCCAGGCCCAGCCCAAAGCACCCCTGGGAACTCCTGCCCTGCTCCCATCTGGGCCAACACCCAGAGCCCTTCTCTGGACCTGCACTTCCTGAGCCCTTTCTGGAGCTGCAGCCCAGCGCTGTTACCGCTGCACTAAAGGAGATCCACTCCTGCCCTGGGCAGCAGCTCCAGCCCTGGAGGCCTGGATTCCCCCCGCTCCAGGAGCAGAGCTCCTCCGCAGCTACATCTGTGCTGCGGGCGGGCTCCGGCTGGTGAGAGCCCCGCTGCCGCCGGGCTGAGCTTCCAGCTGGCTCCGTTCCCTCCGCAAACAGATGCAGCTCCTAGAGCAGGGGCTGATTTATTCAGCAGGAGTCTCGCACATTAAGTGTAGTTAAGTCTGAAAACAAATCTAATGACTTTAAAATAAATAGCCAACAGAGGACTCCAAACTGAAATTCCTCCTTCCTCTGACACCCGCCATATAAACAATAATAATTATATAAAACCGTGTCTAACACATGACTACACAAGGCTCTGGTGACCAAGAAAAGCACACGCTGCTTGTCAGACATAATTGCACATTTGGTTTTTCAATTATTTCTTGTCAGGATCCAGAGCCCACCATCTGAACGCTGACATTAATTATTGGGAAGTTGTTAGTGTTCCAGTAGTCTTATGGAGACTCCCAGCGCTCACCCTGAGGCGCAGAGCTCCCAGTGCTGCTCCCACACTGCCCTCCCATCCCACCAACCCCTGGGACTGTCACACACCACACAGGGACACCCAGCCTGGGCCACCATGTGCAGAAGGGGCTTCAGAAGAAGCTTAGAGCAAATCTCTAGTGGACATCGGCAAGGAACTGATCCCCTGCCATGTGCTCACCCACAGGATGGGACCAGACCATGTGCAGCACTGGGCCTCCAACACAACACCTGGAGCTGCTGGAGCGAGTCCAGAGGAGGCCAAAGGTCCCTCCTAACCCAAGGCAGTGTGGGATTCTTTGAATCCAGCCCATGTCACCCCTGTCACCGTGTTCCTGCTGAGTCCCCTCCCAGCCCCTCTGAGCAGCTCCTGGCATTGCACTCCCATCACATCTCTGCCCATCATGCAGGAAAACATCCTGCCTTTTACTGGCTTTTAATTTGCTGCTTTTTAATTTTGTTGACTGTCTCTTTTTTCCTTGCAAAAGGAAGAAAGAAGCCTCTGATCTACCTTTTCTGGAGTGTTCAAAAACACGCACAGCTTTGTCAGGTTGTCTCTTAGTTGTCATCTTCCCCAAGGCAAGCAGCCATCTCTCTTCTGGCTGCCTTCAAGGAAGAGGGCTTTTTGTGCTCCTAAGAATTCTCTTCACCTTTTAAAATCTCCCATTGCTAAGCACTCACTGAGGTGCAGCAACCACACAGGAGTCAATGGGGGAGGAGAACAGCGAGTGCTCTCTGCCACCAGGAGCTGCCAGCTGCACACCCTGACCCCTGTTCTTCCAAAGGCAGCAACAGGCCTGGAGCTGGGGGTGGTGGGAGCACAAACCCCTGGGCCTCCAGAGCTTTCAGGGTTTGCTTAAAACAGAATAAAATCAATTCACTGCAGTGAAAAAAGAAAAATAGGATTGACCCAATACTACAGTCATTACCTTAGACCAAGCCTGATACTGTGAAAAAAAAAAATTGCAGGAAGATAAAATCCAGGCAACTTATATTATATTTCATTATATTATATTATATTATATTGATTACATTATACTATATTCTATTATATGGTACTATTTTTGCTTATATTTTTACTGATATAAATTAATTGTTAAAAGCTTCCTCGATATTTTGCAATTAGTGAGGGTTTCAAGCAGCAATGACTTTGAGAAACATCCATCTTGTGTTTCCATCCACTGATGACCTCACAGATTCAGTCAGTGCCACATTTCCACCTTCAATCACTGACAGAGCTTTCCTGAAATATTACATTTTGATTCTGTTTTATTATTTTTAAATGGACTTGGTCATTCTCCTTTCTTTGACCACGTTTTGCTCAGTCAGGTAGATGATAAAGTGGGTTTTGTTTTCCCTTTTCTATAAGGAAAAAAGCAGTGGCCAGCCTCACACTCCTCTGGACATAAAAAGGATCAGGGCGGGAAGTTCTCCCACCTCGCCTGGAGCTCCATCCCTGCCCTAGAAAGGGCCATTGCTCACTCCTGGGAGGATGCTCAGCCCCAAGGGCAGCCCAGGCAGGGGAGATGGACACCCCAAAGGTGACACGGGCCCTCCAAAAGTGAGATGGATACTTCAAAGGTGAGATGGGCCCTCCAAAGATGAGACGGACACCCCAAAGATGAGATGGATGCCCCAAAAGTGAGATGGACACCCCAAAGGTGACATGCACAGCCCAAAGGTGAGGCAGATGCCCCAAAGGTGACATGGATACCCCAAAGGTGAGATGGATACTCCAAAGGTGACATGGATACCCCAAAGGTGAGATGGATACTCCAAAGGTGACATGGATACCCCAAAGGTGAGATGGATACTCCAAAGGTGACATGGATACCCCAAAGGTGAGATGGATACTCCAAAGGTGACATGGATACCCCAAAGGTGAGATGGATACTCCAAAGGTGACATGGATACCCCAAAGGTGAGATGGACACTCCAAAGGTGACATGGACACTCCAAAGGTCAGATGGACACTCAAAAGGCCAGTTCCCACAAGGAGAATGCACTTGCCCACCTGCTGTGGGAAACCCTCCAGTGAGAACTGCAAAACTGAATTAAGGGTTGGAATAAAGAATCCAGGAGAAGGAAGTGATGCCTGGCTGCTCTCCCCTTGCTCCTCAGCCTGTACTTTCTTTCCAAGACTTCCTTCAGGCTAATTCCCAGTGAGCCAGCACTGCTGGGCCACAGGTGAGCCACGCCCAAAGTGAGACAGAGAAGTCTCCTCCTGTGACAGACACCCAGTGTTCCTCTCTGCCCAGCTCAGGGGCACCCCAGACATGTTCAATGCCAAGCAGGGCCAACTGGACAAAAAGCTGCCAGGAATGAGGGGATTTTGTCCTGAAATGTCATTGGCAGAGCTGGGGCACTGGGCAGGGACCAGCCAGCACGGTGGGAGCATCGGACCCGGCAGGGGCTGCACAGTCAGCAGTAGGAGACAGGGAGGGCATCAGCACCACAGTGGTTCTCAGATCCCACTGATGTGATTTTACACAGCAGGATGAGTTTTATCTAAGGAATAAAACTTTCACAGTGCTTTCAAGGCCCTGGAGGGGACAGGAGGAGTCACCATCCCTGGATGTGTTTAAAAAAAGCCTGGATGTGGCACTGGGTGCCAGGGTTCAGTTGAGGCGTCAGGAAACAGGTTGGACTCGATGATCTTGAAGGTCTCTTCCAACCTTGTGACTCTGTGAATTCTGTGAGGCCACAGCCCAGGGCAGACCCACCTCAGCATGTCCCTCTCCAGAGTGGGAGCAGCAGAGACACCTCTCAGTGGGATCACAGGAGAAGGGGGTAGTGGGACACCTCTGTCCTCTCCTTCTGAAGGACAGAAGGGTCCATCCAAGAGCCTCACCCTGGGGGCACTCAGCTGGAACTTCCCACACCACACACAAACCACCTCTGCTTTCAGTCCCCAATGGCAGGATGAGGCCAGCCTCCCACATCCATCTCTCCAGCCATATCCAAGGAGGGCTGCATGGACACTCAGCTCAGACACCCATCCCACCTTTGGCCACCCCATCTCCAGGATGGAGAGCACAGCTGAGCAGAGCTGACCCACCCAGCACAGCCCAGCCCTACCTGCTGGAAGAGCTCCTCCGCCCGCTGCTGTTGCTCTCCTCGGCCTAGGAGATCAAAACAGAAGAGCTGGTTAGGTTCAGAAGGACGAGGCTGCTCTCCTGCCCCCAAACTCGGGGTTCCCCAGAGCTGCACACACGCCCTGTGCTCAGTCTGAGTCTCCCCAGCCCATCCCCACCCAGGTCTCAGGCAGCGATCCCTGGCATGCAGAGCCACACCATCGCCAGGTGGGAAATCAGGAATGGCCAAATTGTCCAAATGTCCACGCAGGAATGGCCCCTCCAGGCCCAACACCTCCCCTCGTTAGCCCCGGGCCCTAATTAGCCCCTGCAGGCCCTGGCAGGGAGGGCCCAGGGTCTCCTCTCGCCTCCTTCCCCAGCTCGCTGATGAGAGCCTTCCTTGGAAAGACAATATTATTCCAATCCCAGAAATTTTATTTCTGAATTTGTGCAAATACAAGTTAAAAGATATTAGCTGCATTTCACATTTTGTGCAAATGGCAGAAACAGGCAATTCATGTGCAGCAGGATGGGGGCCAGCCAACGATTTCGATAAAATAAACCCTTTTTTAATTTAAATGCTAATGCACTGAATTAAAATTTAATAACTGAGGAAATTGAAAAGCCGAGCAGGAATATTGGAAATAAATCCAAGCAGAAACAGCTGAAATTAAAAATTCTAGAGAGTGGGAGGATAGCAGCTAAGCTGTCTTATATGATTACATTTTTTTTTTTTTTTTTTTTTTTTTTTTAGAAGGAGGGGGGAAGGAAAAAAAAACTTTTTTCGAAGGGGGGAAGGAAAAAAATCCTATCTTTGGCTGGCTGTAGGGCAGTAAATCGAGAGTGCTGTGATTTATTGCTCAATTTTCCTGAGGGAAAAAGGCTTTCTTTCATGCTGAAATATTTCATAAATTTCAAGCCAGCATAAATTCTTAATTTAAAAGTTATGGAGGTCACATTTAGTGCACTGGTGCAATTCTGAAATCTTAAAGGAATAGCAACCAAAAAAAAATTGCAATTTGATTTTATTTTTTTTAATTCTTCATGTAAAATTTTCTTCAAAGGGGTTGTCCAAGTTACTCAAAGCAGAAACACAACCTGGCTTCTGAAGGGATATGAAATCCACTGGAATTGAAAAGATAAAAATCTAATTCAATTACAAAAAGGTATTTTGTTATGATGATGATGATGATTATTATTATTATTATTATTGTGAGCCACTTGAGGAATTTCTGTTAAAAAATTTCTTCTCTCCATTGCCTGGGAAAAGCCAGAAGGGAGGAGCTGACAATGTAATTGCTTCTGTTAGATCTCCAATCTTTTGTGAGCACTGATATGTTCATTTGTTATACAGCTGTTCAGCTACAGAAAGGATGTCAGAGCACCCATAATTCAAAGCAATCAATCAAAAATTAATGATTTGTCATGCTTACACAATGGAAAAAAAAGGGGAAAAAAAAAAAGCTTTATGGGTTCCTGCAACTGGTAGATTGCTCAAACCTTTGGGGCATTTTCTAGAAGATTAGATCTGTGTACAAAGAAAGGGGGGAAAGGGGAAAAAGGAGACTTAATATAGAGCTGGGGCAGAAACCTTGTTGGGGTGCTGGGGATCCCAGAGATGGGCACCTCACAATTCCTGCCTGTACAAAGGGTTTTGTGCACAACCCAAGCTCACTCAAGAGCCACATCTTGGATCACAGGGACCTCGTGAAGCTCCTGCCACGAGAATTCCACAGGAAAACCACCTGCTGAATTGTGGAACCATGGAATATCCTGAGCTGGAGAGATATTCTGACCCATGAGAATGATGGAACCCAGCCCCTGGCCCTGCACAGACACTCCAACAATCCCCAGTGCTGGGGAGTTTCCTTATTTTGAAAGAAAAAATGAGAAAAAAAGGGAACCACACCAGGTAAGGGCTCTGATCTCGATGGTTTCACACAGCCAGGGTGCTCCTGGAGATGATCCATTAGACAAAAACACCAAGCTAAGCCTGAGATCAGATCAAGCTGCCTTAAATGTTTCTGAATGCTGAAATAAACAAATCCACAGAATCCCAGACAGGTTTGGGGTGGGAGGGACATTAAAGTCCATCCCATTCCACCCCTGCCATGGCAGGGACACCTCCCACTGTCTAGGCTGCTCCAAGCCCCAAAGTCCAACCTGGCCTTGGACACTGCCAGGGATCCAGGGGCAGCCACAGCTGCTCTGGGCACCCTGTGCCAGGGCCTGCCCACCCTCACAGGGAACAATTCCTAATTCCCAAGATCCCATCCAGCCCTGCCCTCTGGCAGTGGGAAGCCATTCCCTGTGTCCTGTCCCTCCATCCTTGTCCCCAGTCCCTCTCCAGCTCTCCTGGAGCCCCTTCAGGCCCTGCAAGGGGCTCTGAGCTCTCCCTGGAGCTTCTCCTCTCCAGGTGAGCATCCCCAGCTCTCCCAGCCTGTTCCTTCAAAAATAAAATCCATTTAAACTATAACATTCCATCTAAATTCTAAAAAGTGGCATTTGAGGACTAAAATACCAGGAGGAAGTGGAAGGGTGAAAGGCTGGAAATTTTAACCAGAATGTGCCAAAACAGGTCAGAGCAGCCCCCAACAAAGTAACACATTTGTGGAGGGAAACAGAAATCTCCTGTGCTCATTTAGGATCTCCTGCACTCCCATTTACCCAAATAATTGATTTTGGTGATTTCCTGATTTTTAACTGAAAAAGGAGAGGAGCAGAATTTGCATCTGCTGATGAGCAGGGATGTGGGGTGCTGGAACAGGATGGAGAATGTCACACAATCTGCCCCATAAAATAATTTACAATTCAAAATGTTATTCCCTAAAGTTGCTTTTCTACATATTCGGTGCATTTAGGGTAGTTTTGTTTAACTAATGCTAATAAATATCCTTTAAATGAAAATGCACACAAGCAGAATGTGGTTTCAGGCCATATGCTCCTCAACTCGAGTTGTAAGCAAAAAGTAAATCATGTGATAATTAAGAAATGTATCAGTCAACATCTCCTAACAGTGTCAAAAAATAGGAGTCCAAGCAGATGTAAAACTGACCTGAGAAATCCATGTTTATTGAGAGGGCTACACTATATTGGGAAAAAAACCCCAACATTTTAACAGTTACAGCAAAACAGAAAAATAACTTAAAGCAATAAAAATGTAAAATAAGATTTCAGAAGATTTAAGCACAGGCCTTCTGCCTGATCACTAAAATTATGATTAGAAACAATTATTCAAATCACTTGGATTTGCATCCATGCTCAGATCAGCTCCCACGGATGGGATGAGGGCACCGGGGACACCCCTAAAGCACTGCCACAGCCTTCTCAGGGGGAAAAGGGGTTCAATCCATGTATTTATTTATTTATTCAGACACAGCCACTGCTATGATTTGCCTCTGAACCCCATCCCAAAGGGAGAGGTCCCTAATTCTGCCTGGGCGTCGCAGGAGGAGCAGACCCCACTTGCCCCAGCTCCTCTCCCACAGCACCTTCCCTCTGCAGAGGAAAAAGGGCAGAGTTGTTTGTTTACCTGAGGGGAAAAAAGGAAAAAACCAAAATTTCTACCCTGCTTCCCCCAAACGCCTTTCCAGAGAGAGCTGAGTAATTTTTGTCCAAACACAAACCACACATTCAATTTTGGAAGGAGCCAGCAGCACCCAGCATGGAAAATTTCACCCCAAATAATTAAAATTTGGTAAAGGGAGAAGCAACTGAAAACAGGTCTGACACAGGAATGTGCCATAAAAATAACTGCAGGCCTGCTACCTGTGCTGTCTGGGGTTATTAACTTCAGAGCCACAGAAAATGCAGGAAGTGCCTTTTTTTTTTTTTTTTTTCTTTTTTCTCTTCTTTAAACAAAGGGCAAGACACCGGCAGTTTCCTATTTAATTTTTATTAAATAGGAGGGAGAAAAACAGCAGAGCAGCTCCACATCACACCAAAACATCTGCAGAGCACAAGGACCCATAAATGTGCCCGTGTCCCTTTTTAATCTGGATTTCTGCTTCCTCCTGCCAGCGCAGCGGATGCTGAGGAACCCCAAGCCCCAGATTTCCAAAGAAGGAAACAACGCTGAGCCCACGGCTGATCCAAGCAGAGCTGTGCTCCACACAACCATGGAATCCTTGAGGTTGGAAAAGCCCTCTGAGATCAGAGTCCAACTATTCCCCAGCACTGCCAAGGCCAGCACTAACCCCTGTCCCCACGTGCCACATCCACACTGGAATATTTCCCTGTCCCCACGTGCCACATCCACACTGGAACATTTCCAGGGATGGTGACTCCACCACTGCCCCACACAGCTGTTCCCATGCCTGACCACCCTTTTCAAGAGGATATTTTTCCTAATATCAAACCTACACCTCCCCTGGTGCAATTTAAGGCTGTTTCTTCTGGTTCCCAGAGCCAGGGCATCCCCTGCATGAAGGACAAAGATCTCCACTGTCTTAGGCTGCTGTGGCTCATCCCGTCCTCATCCTTGGCCTTTGCCAATCCATCAGAGCAGCCTCCAAAAGGGATGAATTTTCCACCCGGGAACAAGACAGTTCCTGGGGCTGGAGGAATGTGCTGCCTATTTCCTCAGCTGCAGCTTCCTCTCAAGATACACCCAAAATAACAATAATAAAAAAAATATCTGCAAGGAGGAAATGGGAGCTCTCCCTGAGGCATGTGCCCGGTCCCACAGCTGAGCCAAGCCCCAGAGTGAGGGTTCCCCAACCCCCAAAATCCACTGTGGGGTCTGCAAGCCCCCCCCAGTGCTGGCCATGGGGCAACACCTGGGGTGGGGATGCTGGTGGCAGCTTCAGTGTGAGAATTCCTTGGGAGCCGCCAGGGGAATCTCAGCCTTGTGCTCGGCTGAAGCCTTGTCCTGGGAAAAGCCAGTGCTTGTTCCCTGTTCCAACAGGGAGAGCCCAGCAGTAAACAGCAACATCTGAGAGTTTTGACCCCTCTGAGATGAGCCCATGGAGGGTTTGCTGTTTGAGGGCAGCAGAAGGCAAAGGCAGAGACTCCCATGGCAGGCACAGAGGCTCTGCTGCCACAGCCAG